TTCAGCTTGATCTGTTCTGCTTTACACATATGTCCAACCTTGCTCACATTCACATGAGGTTGAATCTTTGCTTTCATGTAATAGTTCTAGCTGAAGACAACTGAAAATTCTTGGGTAGAAAAGTTTTCCATTGGAAACCGTGGGTTGGAAAATTCTGCAAATTGTTTGCTTTTAACTCTTTTGAAAATTCGTTTTGAAATCGCAAAAAAAGCATTTTGATATCAGAATGTTCTATTTGAACCTTTTTAGAAGAACATATTTGCCCAAAACACAAATCATCATCTAAATCCATGGGAAATTTTAAAATTGTTTAATTTCTACCACAGACATATTTACCCTACGGATATTACATTCCAATGCTGAACATTAGCATGATTTATACTTCAAGTGATGCTTTACTGCACGTGTACAACATAGAACTGAAGGGCATTTTCTCAGAAAGGTGGAAAATATTTTCCTCCCTGTCCAATGTGACCTCCATTTAGCAAACATGTAATTGGGCTGTACGGTAGGGTAAAAGCAGTCAACACCGCTCTTTGTTTACATCTGCGACAGCACACGGACATCACTGAGGTCAGTAAGCCCGTACACAATTCTGGGAAAAATGGTAGTTAATTATTGCTAGAGTGCAAAAAGGGAAAAGCCACATGGTTTAATTTTGATGTAGAACAGAAACATCAAGATTGCCTGCTGGGTTTTTAAACAAAGGAACAAATTAATATACCTAACCCAGCAGGCAATCTCACTCATCTTCCTGAGGTGAATAATCCCATTAACATGGGGGGAATTTTACAAATATCATGACGTATAGGCCTTGTTGCCTACCTTTGTGTTCTGTTTGACTCACTAGAAACCATTGCTTTGTTCATCTCTCTTTAGAAGTTTAGGTTTTAATGCAAACTAAGCATTCAGTGTTTGGTGCAGGGGTGGCCAACTTGCAGCATGAGTGCCACAAGAGGCACAGGCATGCAGACAAGCATCATGGCAGCAGACAGGGCAGGAAGCACAAGGCAGAGAAGTATATCAGGAAGGGAAAGGCTATTGGAGTTTGGAGCCAATTTGCAGTATGTCTGTCAAAAAGGTTGGGTGTTTCTGTCCTGGGTGGCAAATCCATAGCATATATGCTACAATTGGCACATGCAGCCACAGTGTGCGACACACAAGGGCTGGGAGTTAAGAGAAGAGGGGACAGGGCAGGGTGGGGCCAGGACCAGCTTGCTGGGTCTGTGCTACTCCATCAGGGAGTACAGCAGGGGCCTGGGTGATGGAGCCCATCCTGCCCACTGCACCCTACTCACCTGCTTGGCTGTTCTACTTGGTCTGGCTAAAAGCAGCCCCATGGTGTTCCAAGGACAGTGGGTACAATAGGGAAGATAAGACAAGCCCACACTGCCCAGCCAAGCCTCATGCTGGCTGGCTAGAGATTTGGAAAAGGGAACAGCCCGGTGTCACCTGGCTGGAGTGATGGGGTAGAGGGAAGTTGCCCTGCTGCCTAGGTGGAGGGAGGGGAAAAGGAAGGAAAGAACTCCTGGAGCTCTGGTGTAGTGCCTGAAGACTGGAAGAAGGCCAATGTGGTGCCCATCTTCAAGAAAGGGAGAAACGTGGATCCGGCAAACTATAGGCCCATCAGCCTGACCTCTATCCCGGGGAAGGTCTTAGAAAAGTTTATTAAAGAGGCCATCCTTAATGGACTGGCCAACACCAACATCCTGAGGGATAGTCAGCACGGGTTTGTTGTGGGTAGGTCTTGCTTGACAAATCTCATTTCCTTCTATGACCAGGTGACCTATCACCTGGACAAGGGAGAAGAGATTGATGTCACATATCTTGACTTCAAAAAAGCCTTCGATCTGGTATCCCACGATCACCTTTTGGCAAAACTGGCCAATTGTGGCATTGGGTCCACCACAATCCGCTGGCTGGGAAACTGGCTCCGTGGTTGGACCCAGAGGGTGGTAATTGACTTAAGTCAATCATCATGGTGCCCTGTGACCAGTGGGGTCCCCCAAGGCTCTGTCCTTGGACCCATATTGTTCAACA